GCAGAGCGTCTCCTGCGCACGCGCAGGAGACGCTCTTGCACTTTCGGGGGGATTTAAACATCCCCCCGAATTTTTTTTAACTTCTTTTATTTTTGTGCATGTCTTGCCGGCCGGCCAGAGGCGGCGGCGGCAGGGTTCGCAGAGCGTCTCCTGCGCACGCGCAGGAGACGCTCTTGCACTTTCGGGGGGATTTAAACATCCCCCCGAATTTTTTTTAACTTCTTTTATTTTTGTGCACACGTGGGGACTGGCCCACGTGTACACAAACCTCCCCCGGCCCCCCAGCTGCCCCCGGAGCGCTGATCTAGCGATCCACACTCCGGGGGCAAGTTGGCTATTAGATATATAGATTTTAAAAATTATCCATTGCTTTGTCCCTTTGTGGTGAAAGAGAAATTAATAGAGATTAGAAAGAAGGAAATGCCATTCATTCCAAAATGTTAATACTGTGGACCATTTAGGAGCTGCCTGATTAATGTATGTCAGATATTTGAACTTTCGAGAGTCAAAGTTCCCTTCGTCAGACACTTTCATCAGAGCTTTCCTTCACAAAAAGTCGTACCCCCAAAATCTTGTTAGTCTCTTAAAATGCTGCTGAACTCAAATCAAAATTTATTTAGCCAGTTTGGTGTACTGGTTAGGAGTGTGGACTCTAATCTGAGACAACCGGGTTTGATTCCCCACTCCTCCACATGCAGCTACTGGTGTGGCCTTGGGTCAGTCACAAGCTCTCTCAGAGCTGTTCTCTGACAAGCAGTTCTCAGAGTTCTCTCAGCCCCACCTACTTCACAGGGTGTCTGTTGTGGGGAGGGGAAGGGAAAGGAGTTTGTAAGCCGCTCTGAGACTCCTTCGGGTAGTGACGGGTGGGGTACAAATCCAGTCTCCTCCTCCTCTTCTTCTTTATGACATCCACAAAAGCTCACAAGACTCTTTTCTAAATAAATTACATTCACATGAAAGTCCCATTTCAGTTGGGTCTCCAACCTGATTTTGTAGCTTTAACTGCCTCAGTCACCTTGATGGGATGGCCTTGCTGAGAGAAAAACAAGGACAGTATGG